GTGTGCACGCACGCATGTGGAGGGGAGGGGCAGAGGGAGAGGGAGGGAGAGGGAGAGAGAAACCCAAGCAGACTCCATGCTGAGCATGAAGCCCAATGTGGGGCTTGATCTCACAACCCTGAGATGAGACCTGAGCCGAAACCAAGAGTTGGATGCCCAACTGACTGCCCAACACAGATGCCCCTGTAGCTGTATTTTAAAAAATAACTGTTATCTTTGAAAGATACACACTGAAGTTTGAATTGATAAAATGATAATGATGCTTGAGTTTTACCTCAAAATAACATAGTTCAGGGGGCCTGGCTGGCTTAGTCCGAAGAGCATGCAACTCTTGATCTCAGGGTTGTGAGTTCAAGCCCAAGGTTGGTCATGGAGCCTACTTAAATAATAATCTAGTTCAGAGTGAGGGGGCTAGTGAAGGATATGGTTGGAAAAAGATTGACTGTATCTGAGAATTGTTAAAGCTGGGTGATAGGTACATGGCAGCTCCTTATATTCTTCTGTTTTTGTATAATTTTGAAATTTTCTGTAATAGAAATGAATTCTTAGGTGCATCGTCCTGAGCAAGACTTGAAAGGCTCATCTCTGAGTAGCAGTGGGTGAGCTTTAGTACCAAGACCAAGTGCCATTCTGTGGTTGTTCAAGAACTTATAGGCTGGTGCAGCGATCCTTGGTGAGCTTTCCATGGTGTCAGGTAGTGTGTTTGGGTCACATGTTGGTGAACATGCCACCCATGCCCAAAGAATATTGAATGAGTAAATGAAAGTAAAGAGGCCCAAAGCCCTGATGCTCTTCTTATCTTTGCAGCGGAGCCCAGGGGGAATATGCTGGGCTGGCCACCATCCGAGCTTACTTCGACGGGAAAGGAGAGGGACACAGGACAGTGAGTATGGACAGGTGGTGGGTGCTCACCACCGGGTGGCAGTGGGTCCAACTCTCTCCCTCTAAGCCTTCTTGTAAGCAGCTAGGGAACATATAATCAAGAGACAGATTTCTTTGAACTGGCCCTTACAGTCCTTGTCCCCAAGACATTTCACTGGACCATTTTAAGAGAAAACATTTGCTCAAACCCAGTGTGTAAAAGTCAGCCAGTTTTTAGATTCTTCATTATAAAATACAGGCAACTAGCCATAAATAATCTTGTAGTTTTAATAAAACCAGAAATGGACTGAGATTGGGCCACCACCTACTGTACCCCACCTACTTGGGCAGCCAGAACGAACCTGGAACCTTTTCTCTAACTCTCCTGGGAGCAAAGGAAGGAAAGGACAGGAATGTTACAATTCCAGGTCTTAGGCCTGGACAAAGGGCAGAGACCAACCTTTAACTGTTTTGTAACTCCTACTGTGACTAGGCACAGTTCTCGTTTCTGTATGCTCAAAAAATTTTTATTGAGGGGTGCCTGGCTGGCTCAGTTGGTGGAGCACGTGACTCTTTTTTTTTTTTTTAAGATTTTATTTATTTATTTGACAGAGAGACAGAGAGGGAACACAAGCAGGGGGAGTGGGAGAGGGAGAAGCAGGCTCCCCTCTGAGCAGGGAGCCCTATGCATGACATGAGCAGAAGGCAGATGCTTAACCAGCCACCCAGGCATCCCGGACCATGTGAATCTTAATCTCAGGGTCATGAGTTCGAGCCCCACGTTGGGTGTAGACGTTACTTTAAAAAAGTAGAGGGAGAGGGAGAGAGAGAATCCTGAGCAGGTTCCATGCCCAGCGCGGAACCGGATGTGGGGCTCAATCCCACGAACCCAAGATCACGACCCGAGCTGAAACTTAACTGACTGAGCCACCCAGGCACCCCATAAATAAATGTTTAATAAAATATTTACTGAATAAGTAAATTCCCTATTGAGAATTGTCATCTCTAAGCAGCAAAAGAAGACATGGAACAGAGTTCATGGTTCTGCTTCAGTTTTTGCTTTGGGTATGAGAGTCTAGTCTCCAGGGTCCAAACTGCACTTGGGGCCTCTGTAGGGACCAGCAGAGGTGCTAATGGTCTTGACTGGACTCCACTAATCCCCAGAGGCAGTGCTTCTAGCAGTTATCTGACCTAGGCTTCCAAGTGTGGTAAAAGAGACTATGTTTCTGAGGTCTTCATTTTGGTGATGAGCAACAGTAAGCTAGAACTTCCACTGAGCTGTAGACATGGAGTTCTTTTTTTTTTTTTTAATGGCTGTATTCTAGTAAACCTTTATTTATGGAGACCGAAATTTGAATGTCCCATAATTTTCATATGTCAGGAAATAATGTGGATTTTTTTTCAACCTTTTAAATTAACTCACAAGTCATATAAAAACAGTAGTGGATTGATACAGTGTTGGCCTGTAGGTTGCAGTTTTCTGACCCCTGCTCTAGCAGAAGAAAGCACACTTGACGGCAAACTGTTCATAAGTATAGAGAAACAAAAAGGACTGCTTTGACGTTCAAGAAACGTTCTTGCAGGCATTCCACGGATTCCGTGATGTTCGAGAAATGTTCTAGCAGGCATTCCACAGATTCCGTGATATCTGAGGGTCATTCCCCATTTATGGAGAAGTAACAAAGCGCAGCGAGACTCATTCACACCAGGTGGTAAGCACCTGCCCTCACTGCCTGTGCCCACGTGGTTTGTTCCTCAGACAAGAACCCCCCACACACACTTTCACTTTCTCTAATTTCACTATTTCCAAACGGAAGTCAGGCCAAAAATCAGAGCGCAGGTTCTAAGTATATGCCAAATTCTTTTTTTTTTTTTTTAAAGATTTTATTTATTTATTTGAGAGAGCGAGAATGAGAGAGAGTACATGAGAGGGGGGAGGGTCAGAGGGAGAAGCAGGCTCCCCGCTGAGCAGGGAGCCCGATGCGGGACTCGATCCCGGGACTCCAGGATCATGACCTGAGCCGAAGGCAGTCGCTCAACCAACTGAGCCACCCAGGCGCCCTATGCCAAATTCTTAATATCAGGAGGTAGCTGTTCTTTTGTTATATTAGAAGGGAAAAAAAGACATATATTCATATACACAGAGCCTTGTGTAAGCACGCTTACAAATTCCTGCTGAGGTCTCAGAAGCTGAACTGTGGAAAGGAGGTCAAATTGGATAACGCAAGCACCCAAATAAAATGGCTTTCCTTGCCCATTCTCATGGCCCTCCACAGGCAGGCTTGGCAGTGAACAGGCCAATACAAACATCCAGTGGGGATATGAAGAATTTCCTTTAGTAGGATCAATTGATTAACCAGTCCCACTCACACAGAGGAAGGCATCTCCAAGTGCAGTGAGCACTGTGGCTACCTCGTGGAATGGCCAACGCCTTTGCAGGAAGTCAAGGGCAGAGATCCAAGCCACCCAGTGATGAGCCTTGGCCTTGTCCTTCCAGGTCTTCCTTCTGGAGGGGAGGAGAGCACTTGAAGCCTGAATGACAGAGTGGGATTCAAGAATATGGATGCTATTTTCTAGAGCACTGAGAAAAGCTGTCATGTAAAAGTAAAACCTCTGAATTGGGTCTTTTTGCCAATTCAGTAAACAAATTATAGGACTAAGGGAAGAGAGAGAACAGTCAGTATTTTTTGGAGCTTTTACTTTTTTTGTGTTTTAAACCATGCTATGACATCGGCAACTCACTCTAAACAACTGATGGTTTCCATGTCTTTCTGCGAAGGCCTGAGAAGTTTAGGGTGTGAGTGTGGGCCTGGCCACTGTAGAAACTCCCCGACTGCCGACATCTTCTGACTGCAGACATGTCCTGCCTATGCCCCTGCTAGCTCCCTGGGATCTACATATGGCACGTAGGGCGGGGAGTAGTTAGCAGTGACACCCCTGAGCACTGGGAGCTGGGGTGGGGGGGGCAGCTACACTGTTCCCTGGTTCCCTCTGGATGAAAATCCTGCAAATTTCACAGTGAAACAAAACAAGACAGGAACTTAGATATTTACCAGACTCAGCCCCATTCCACCTCCATTTCTGGGACTTCACAGATTTTCCAGACTGGCTTGTTCCCCCTCATTTATCCTCAAAGAAATGACACAGCAACTCATGTATATCAGGGAGTGGCCATTTGGGAATAAAAAGCCTTAGTCATTTTTTAGATTATTCAAACTATGAGCCAGTATGGTTTGATTAGACATGGAGTTCTTAGAGGGGACAGTGGGTAGGGGTTGGGAGCAGGACAAAAGTGACTGCCCATCCCAGGAGAGTTAGAGAAAAGGGTGCCAGGCTCGTTCTGGCTGCCCAAGTAAGTGGGGTACAGTAGATGGTGGCCCAGTCTCAGTCCATTTCTGGTGTTATTAAAACTAGATTATTTATGGGTAGTTGCCTATATTTTGCAAAGAAGAATCTAAAAACTGTTTTACTTCCCTTTCAAAAAAAAGGAGGGGAAAAAAAAGAACATTTTCTTCCTCCTTCTCCTGTTTATTTATCCTGATTCCACAGGTGTGTTTTCCCAGGCCTTTAACTTAGTTGGGCAGTCGAACTGATTTTCAAAGAATTTTGAAAAAGGGGACATTCATTAATTGAGTAATTATTCAATACTGGTCATATACAAGGTACTATGTGGGGTGCCTGGGTGACTCAGTTGGTTAAGCGACTGTCTTCAGCTCAGGTCATGATCCTGGAGTCCCAGGATCGAGTCCCGCGTTGGGCTCCTTGCTCAGCGGGGAGCCTGCTTCTCCCTCTGACCCTCCCCTGTCTCATGGGCCGTCTCTCTCTCATTCTCTATCTCTCAAATAAAATCTTTAAAAAAAAAAAAAGGTACTATGTGTGCCAGTTCAGAGTTAAATCAAGTCATAACTAAGATAGACACAGTCCCTGACACACCAACTTGGTTTTTTTCACTTGGGTTTTCTAGTAGTTTTGAATTCTTTCATTTTCTTTCTTTCTTTTTTTTTTAAATGACTTTATTTATTTATTTGACAGAGAGACAGAGAGGGAACACAAGCAGAGGGAGTGGGAGATGGAGAAGCAGGCTTCTCAACATGGGACTCGATCCCAGGACCCTGGGATTATGACCTGAGCCGAAGGCAGACACTTAACCTTAAGCCTGAGCCACCCCGACACCCTGAAATTTTTAATTTTCTAAGGAAGGGTTAGTTTAGAACTAGAATTTTTCTTTAGCATCAGAAAGGAAACACTGAAGCTCCCGTTGCCCAGGGAAAGGACACCAGGTGACTGACAGTAAAAGTCTCCTTTCTGTTTTTCCTCTCTGGCTTCCTCATGCTGAGGTAGCCACTGGAATGCCTCCTTGTTATCCTCTTTAACCACAAGGTGTCTGGGAAGACTGGGAAGGGATCCGTTCATCCTATGTGACCACGTTACCTCCTTTGCCTCAACCCCTCTCCTGCCCAGAGGCTTTGTAGAGAGACCTCGAGATCTACAATGTGGTGCTTATGGAAGGCTGGAGATGAGCTAATAACAAAGGGCCAGCTAACACCCAGGTTCCATCTACTCCGTGATGCTTCCCATCCCTCATTGTTTCCTAGTTCACCAGTGTGACACCAGGAAATATCTGTGAATGTCCAGGAGTTGGGGACCAAACTGGAAAGGTCAAGGAGAAGGAATGAAAGAACTTTTGATTGCACCTGGGCAGAGTTCTTCGCTAACTCCCAGACCCTTTCTTGCCCATTTTTCCTCTCTGTGTTTTTCAGTCCTCCCTTCTCTGTCTGTCCCCGTGTGTGTGATGTTTCTTCTCTCACCGTTGTCCACACTGCTATCACCACGTGTCCTTGTTCTATTCTGAAGGACGGGGGAACTTGATGCAGCAGTTTTGGGAGGGAGAGGCAGGGAAGGCTGCCCAGCCCCCGAGCTTGTAGAAATACAGAATTCTTAAGTTTGGAAATGTTGGCATCCTTTCTAGATTAAAGATTTTATTTAAAGCAGTGTTTTCAGTTGGAGAAGAAGAAAATGACTTATTGCTTAAATAATCAGGGAGGATTTTTCCACATCAGAGAAGTCCAAGGCAGCTGCTACTGCACAATAGACTCTAATGGAATCCAGTAAAATATATCCTTCTTTTTTGAAAAGGAGTGTGGGGAAATCATGTGCTTCAGAACCTCCCGGGTTCCTGATAGTTCTTATTTCAAGCTGTTTTGGGCAGTTATTTTCACGTCTGCTCTTAGGTTAAATTTCAGAGGTTCCTAAAATGCAACAGCCAAGTTCCTGATTTACCAGTTTAATTTGGGAGAATATAACTTTATTTAACAAATACTTACCAGGCACTATCTGAAACCCTTTATAATTAATAATTCAATTTGCTAGTCAAATATTAACTCAGATTTGCTGATCAGAGATGAGATTCTTATACAAAGGGGAAACATTAACCCTTAGAAAACACCAAAAACCACCACCGCACCCCCTGCCGAACGTGTATGGAAGTAATTTTTCTCTTCCCAACTGTCTGAGATGAAGTAGTAGCCTTTGGTTGTTAGATTTTATTAGTGGTAAGAAATTTATTTCCCTTGCAAAGGAACACTGCTCCTTAATCCCTCACTCATTCAGCAAGTGTTGGAGGATGAGGTTGGGTTGGGTCTACACCAGGTACATTGCGGAATTGGAAAAACAGAGCATCCATCTAAATGGGCATAAATGCACCAAAGAGGATTGTTTTAGATAAACTAAAGCACCAAATCTGGGTCCTGTTATTTCCATGTCCCTTGTGACCCCACAATTTTAAAGTGAGGAAAAATTACCATTAAAAATTTCCCCAAAAAATTATTAAATAAAATTTCCTATTTCCGCATAGAAAACCAGAAATGTATAACAGCAACCTATAAATGAGTCATTGACAAAACCACTGAGACGTTTTTCTTTCTGATGCCTTACGTCAGGGTATGTATTACTTTCCTGTGGCTGCCGTAACAAATTCTCACAAACTTAGTGGCTTGACAAAACAAAAAATTATTTTCTCAGTTATGGAGTCCAGGAGTCTAAAATTGGATTTCTCTCGGCTACAGTCAAGGTGTTGGCAAGGCTACCTCCTTCTGGAGGATCCAGGAGAGAATCTGTTTCTCTGCCTCTCTGGAGGCCTTCTGCGTTCCTTGGCTGGGGCCCTTCCTGCCATCACTCCATCCTCTTGTTCATTCATAAAATTTTCTACTTCCTTTGTAGTCAAACCTTCTGCCTCCCTCTGCTCAGAATACTGGGGAATATATTTAGGGCCCAACGGATAATCCAGATTCCAAGATCCATAATTTCTTATCTGAAGAGCCTGATTTAATCACAAAGTCTGTTTTGCCATAAGGTAACATCCATAGATTCTGGGGATCAGGGTTGGGCATTTTGAGGGGCCCATTATTCAGTGTACCAAGGGATGGTTGACATTTTTACCTTGAATGTTTTTATTTCAGCAGAACTTCCCTGGTACAAATTCTTAATTTAGGCCTTTAACCAATATTTTATATTTATTCAAAATTTTTTAATTTGGGTATAGTTGACTATATACATTTTTTTTTTAAAGATTTTATTTATTTGACAGAGAGAGACACAGCGAGAGAGGGAACACAAGCAGGGGGAGTGGGAGAGGGAGAAGCAGGCCCCCCCCAGAGCAGGGAGCCCGACGCGGGACTCGACCCCAGGACCCCGGGACCACGACCCGAGCCGAAGGCAGTCGCCCAACCAACTGAGCCACCCAGGCGCCCGACTATATACATTTTTAATATTTGCCTTTTCCTTCTTGATCATTGTTCTGCCCAGAAGGGGTCCTTTTATCCAAAGATCCTGTGGTAGAATAAAAATAATTTATGGGAAAGGACAAGTGACTTTGGTTCTGAGAAATTAAAGAGTCAATACAATAGGGAAGCATTTAACCTAGAAAAAGGATTTGAGGACACACTGCATAACCAGCATGAGACCAATAACCATTCAAAAGAGGCATAAACTTTCTGTCAACAGAAGAGTGACAGTTTGCCTTTGTGTACACGTGTGTTTTTCTTCAGTAGACAACTTTGCTGTTTTTGAGGAAACAGCTGTAAGCAAAGTTTCCCCTTCATAAATCCACTACTATAATGCCCATCCATTTCTCTTCAAGGGGTTGAAGTATTGGTCCTGGTATTTAAAAAAAGGAGGATTATTTTCAGGGTGATCATTGCTTCTCTTTGTTGCTTTCCATTGGGAAAAACTCTGTGATGCACTTTCCTGTAGCACAGCATCATCACATCTACCCCAGCATGTGTGTTTGCTTGTTCACGTGATTTGTAGGAGGAAATGAAAATGATTTAAATCTGGGCATTCTAAAATTGTACCCACCATCCACCTTCTGTAAGAATCCAACTCATCTTTAAAGGCTAGCTTAGGCTCTAGCTCTGGAAATCCTTTCCCTTTACCTCTTCCACTTGAAGTGACATCCCTTATTCTGAGTTCCTGTGGCATCTGTTTATACATTTGCCAGCATTGTCCATGAATACACGACATGCTTCCATGCTCACCTTATGATTCTTGTGGCAACTAACAGTTCAGTGCACAGAAGCATCCAGTAAATGGTGACTGATGTATTAGCACTGGAAGGCCTTGGAATTATGTCTACCATTATCATCTCTTCCTGAATCTCAGCAAAGCAGAGAAGAGCACTGAAACTGTGATTTGGGCACTTGGATTCTAGAGTTTAACTTCCAACTTCATGTTCTTATAAGATGCTTTCTACATATTATAACTGTGACAAGGTCACAGTAAGCCTGGGTCTGGTTTTTGGTATGCTGAGATAAGGGAGGAGAGTACTAATTAATATTTCAGGAGTCTTTAAAGAGCAATATTTGTGGATTCAGATGCAAACTCCTCTTTTGAACATTGTTTTACACTGTAGTAATATTGAAATTGTAGCAGATTTTAAGGCATTAGTGATCAGTTTAAATAAAGCATGTGGTGCCTATTTAATCTGTGTTCCAAGCATTTGTAGGACTTTTCTGCTGTGAATAGTCTGGTGATGATTTTTCCTCCTTCCTTTCATTCCATTCCTAAGGTTTGCCTCATTCCAAAATCAGCACATGGGACCAATCCCGCAAGTGCTCACATGGCAGGCATGAAGATTCAGCCTGTGGAGGTGGATAAATACGGGAATATTGACACAGCTCACCTCGAGGCCATGGTACCCATCTTCCACTAAACAGATGGGGGAGGTCTGGGTTGGGAAAAGGTGGTGGGGAGAAGGGACTAGATGGTTTATATCAACCTTATCTTTCTTTGCATTCTAATTAAAAGACTGCAGTTCCTCCTCTGAATGGGTCTGGGGAAAATGGAGTAATATCAGAAAACCTAACCGTCTCTATCAGAAAAATAGAAAGCAACAGTCACATTTTTGGTCCATAATAAAACCGAACATAGTCTGCTTCTTTCACTAACCGGGAGAAGGTCCTTTAAACTGAAATCCCATCCTCTTAATGCATATGTAAGAAACTGAATGAATTATTCATGGTCATAGTAAGGATACTCCTTGCAGGGCCTGCCTGCCTTCTCCTTCCTGCCCAACCTTCCCTCCCTTCCCCCATTAATAATCAAACTAGCAGTCACAGTTATTCTCAATCTTTGTGTTGGGAATTAAAACATAAATGTAGATTTTTGCAAAAGTGTGTGACTGTCCCAGCCATTACCTGCTGAATTTCGGGCAGCATTCCACCTCCTTCCTACAACACCAACCCCCACTCCCAACCTCCCAACCTCCAGGAAGAGGTTGCCTAGCAACTGTATCTGCTTTCCACTGGTGGACTGGAGGCTGCATCTTAAGAGGGAAGGAAATCAGTTGAATAGCAATGTGATTTTGTCAGGATTACTAGGCATGGAGACTGAGAACTTCATGCAACTGCCTTCAAAGGAAGCTGAAAACACACAGCACTGCTCATGTCTCCCATCCATGCCCACCCTTCCAGAGCCGCACAAAGTTTTTACCAACAGATATTCTGGGGCAGTAGTTGTAATTACTAAGTTTCCCCAATATAGGATATGACCTTTAAAAGATATTTTTTTTCATTTCCACATGAGCGTGCTCTGACTCACTGGCCAAAACAACAGGAATGTGCCTTTTATATATGTTTGCTTTCTGTGAAAAGGAAACATGAGGGAGATTTCTTTTTATCAGAGCAGAACATCTTATGGGAATTCTAATTTCAACAGAATGAGAGGGAAATGGAATAGGGGTGGATATGGCAAGATGAGCAGAGAGAGATTAGCTGTGAGAACAGACATGTCTGCAACCAAAAAGATCTGAAATAATTATTCAGATGACTAAAACCAAAGGAAAACTTTGGGGAGTTGAGCCTAAAATACCCAAAAATCTTCCTAATAGTCTTTTAGGTCTTTATCATGGAGACCTAGCCTAAAGGCATTTTGTTATTTCTTTGGAATTACTTAAGAAAAGAGTAATGGCTGTGAATTGTTAGTGCCATCATACTTTGAGGGAATTCTAGACATGAAAAGTCCAAGACTTAATCTTTCCTAATCCTGTAAAGTAAAAAGAAAGGATTTGGCCAATAAACATTTCCTCCTTTGTCTACCTCTGCTCTTTTCTATCCCACAGGTGGATAAACACAAGGAGAACCTCGCAGCAATCATGATTACATACCCATCCACCAATGGAGTGTTTGAAGAGAACATTGGTGACGTGTGTGACCTGATCCACCAACACGGAGGACAGGTCTATCTAGACGGGGCAAATATGAATGCACAGGTAGGCAACACAAGAGGGACTCCCTGGGAAAATGGTTAAGTCAGAAGATGATTTTTTCCTCTGACTTCTGGACAGTTGTTTTACAACATATTAACTGAATTCAGAACTGTGGTTGGCTTTCTTTATTACCACTTTCAAGCAAAGTACTGCACTTTGACTGAGATTAGATTTGAAGGGGGTGATAGTGGAGGTTGGGGCGGAGGTAAAGAGATTGACAGGATGCAGGGAATGAACTGAATGTCCTTAGTTCGTCAGAGGTTGTGATCTCTCTTGGGGTGCTACCAGTAAGAAGGTCACTTGACTCCCTTTCTAAGGGAGTTCAGACCCAAATTCTGGCCACTGTGGATGTTCATGTCCCACAACATCCCATGACAATGAACAAGCCATTAATCTGGCTTCAACTTTTTCAGTGTAAAGTGCTGAATAATTCTGTCCCTGAAGGGCCAATCCGGATTCCTAATTACTTGTGTGTGTGTGTGTGTGTGTGAGAGAGAGAGAGAGAGAGGGAGGGAGGGAGGGAGGGAGGAGGGAGAGGGTTGTGTAATGTGCACCCCTGAACAAATGCTGTAGGGGACACCAGCAGAGGATGTCATCATCTTTCAGAGTTTTCTTAACTTCTTGGTCGTTGTTTGTTGTTGTGGTTGTGGTTGTGGGTTGGTTTTGTTTTTTGTGTTTGTTTTTGGTTTTGGTTTGTTTTACTTTACCATTTCAAATTCTTTGTTTTTCTTTACTTCTGTCTGATTCCCTCTGTCAGTGTGGTCCAGGGATTGTCTATCGCTTCAATAGCATTAATGCACTCTTCATCTTTGGCCACATTGAAAATTAGCCCTAATGCCAAAGTGGCAGGAAGGCCTGTTGAATGTTGTAGCTGGTAATATGGTGGTCTCAGGAAAACCATCAGCCTCCCTTCCTTTCCTTTGGCTCAGCATCCTCTCAGGTGGCCTTCCATCCCCTTCCACTGCTGTACCCAAAGTACATGATACTCAAAGCCAACCATGCAGGGGGAGCTAATATTGCTGGGGTGAAAGTAATCTCTTTCTGCAGCAAGGAGGTAATTCCCTTTCTTTTGCTCAGGGTGCTTCCTCTCCCTCTTGTGGTGGAAAATTAGGAATTGACTGTATATTCCAATCTGTATTTTAAAATCTAAATTAGGCTAAACGGTCAGTGGCTGTTTCCATAGAAACCATAAGCCAGGCTGCCTATGGGATGTGAGGTTTTGACTGCAGAACTTGGCCATTATTGAGAACATTCTGTGAACAGCTCTGCCTACCTTTCCTCTAAAGGGAGAGGCCACAGTCAGGAGCACGGCCACCTTTCCAGACCACCCTTTCAACTCTTGACTTTTGATTTTGGCTCTTTCCCTGTGTGGTAGGTGGGAATCTGTCGTCCTGGAGATTTTGGGTCTGATGTCTCACACCTAAATCTTCACAAGACCTTCTGCATTCCCCACGGAGGAGGCGGCCCTGGCATGGGGCCCATCGGCGTGTGAGTTCTGGGCTGCTTGATTCAGGAAGGTTTTAGAGATTAAGAATGAAAGAATGGCCCCCAATTCACTGTTCCTCTCATCAGGGTCTTCAAGTGTCATGGACACCTTCATATCTAGTGTGCCTGGAGGGACTGGGAGAGAAGCAGTGAGAAGGATGACTTAGGGAATGTCCAAAGAGGAGCATAAGTAGATTTTATTAACCACAGTGCTCGATTGGCCACACTAAGCTCCCAGTCATACATAGACAGGGCAGGCTTGTGAGCAGAGCAATGAATAGGGAGTTTACTGGGGCATTATGGATCTGAACTGAAATATTAGCACCTGCAAGTGTCTCTTAGACTTTAATTTAGATTTCCAAGAAGGTTTTCTTTATTCATTCTTTTTAAAAAGAAATCAGCTGATGGTTACATTGAACATGAATTATCTATCAACAACGAAAGGAACTCAGAGGAGAAAAGTGCTTGCCAGGGTCTGGGGAGCAGGGGGGTGGGTAGGGAGAGGTTGGTAAAGGGCACAAACTTTATAAGATGTGTAACATGTACAACACGGTGATTATGGACAACACTATATTGTATATTTGAAATTTGCTAAGAGAGTAGAACTTAAGTGTTCTCAACAAAGAAAGAAAAAGAAAGAAGTGAATTGCATGTAAAGTGTTAAACACTTTGCAGCCTGGATTCTTATTACATCTGAGATAAGTAAGGAGGAAACAGACCTTATTACTAGAAATAATTAGATGAAGTCAGAATAACACTAAAGGAATGTCTCATAGCTGTTGATAACTTTTTATACTGTGAAGTTGAATCACCTTGTGAAAATGATGCTGAGCAGCCATTTTCTGAGTTTCTTCAGTTTTCCAAAAATGGACCAAGGGGCCCAGTCTTCAGCTTGCTGGGAACCTGGCCTCTTGCTTTTTCATGTTTTTTCTTTTTGATTATTATTTATAACAAGTGGGGGCACCTCAGTACCTCCACTGTAGGGGAGGTGGGGGAGTGATGTTCATGTGCTGGCCCTCTGATGTGTAGACCCATGGGGCTCCCTCTCAGCAGCACCCTCTATCCCTTAGATTCCTCGGGAAAGAATGTGGGGCGTGGGGCTGGGAGGTCCCCACATCCTGGTGAGTCTGTGGCTTACAAGCTCTTTCATGGCTGTCTAATTCTGCCAAATCCCCTGCTGTAGTTCTTGGGTGAACCACTGGGACACTGATGGCTGGTGAAGAGGAGGAAGGAAGGAATCCTTCCTGAACATCTGTTTCTTAGCAGGTGTTAGGTCCTTTCCACTCTGAGTTTCTCTACTAGAAATAGCGCTTTCTGAGAGGGCTCAGCTCTTGCCTGTTTTGCCTGTTTGGTTGGTCTGGATTTTTTTTTATATCTGCTGAATTTGTGTTTAAAAATAACAGGAAGAAGCATCTTGCCCCTTTCCTGCCCAGTCATCCCATCATCTCGGTAAAGCCAAGTGAGGATGACCGACCTGTGGGTACTGTTAGCGCAGCCCCGTGGGGCTCCAGTTCCATCTTGCCCATTTCGTGGGCCTATATTAAGGTGAGGCCTGTGACTGTGTTAGGCGGGCGGGGGATGTGATATGTGGGTGGGAAACTATGACTGCAGGCTTTCTCCTTGACTTAAAAATGAAGAAATCCAGGGGTGCCTGGATGGCTCAGTTGGTTAAGCATCTGACTCTTGGTTTCAGCTCAGGTCATGATCTTGCGGTCATGAGATTGAGCCCCGCATGGGGCTCTGTGCTCAGCTCAGAGTCGGCTACAGATTCTCTCTCCCTCTGCCCCTCCCCCGCCTCAAATAAATAAAATCTTAAAAAAAAAAAAAAGAAATCTATGATCTGAGATGTGATTCAGTGAAGATTGCTGACTTGGGTGGAAGAAACCTTCTTAAAGAAATCAGATAAATTTTATTTAATCTCTTCTTCATGGTGCTATTTCGTTTGGGTTCTCATAGTGGGTTTAACATCACAGAAACTGACATGCCAGATATGTTTTTCCAGACCAAGTTAAGTTCCATGAGTCATGTGGATGTTCTGGCTATGTCATTTTAGTTTCCTGTAGGATTTGTATAGCCGCTTGCAAGTGAAGAACAGTGCACATACTAATTACACTTGGTTGAAATCCTGGGATAAATTTTTAGGAATAAATCTCACATTGCTTTATATTTCTTAGGAACCTGGAAGATAAGATAAAAAATAGCAGGAATTTGCTTATGTAGTAGTTTCCCAAAGCTCTGCCCTTTACTGTAGAACTGTAATTCTCTGGGGTAATTAGACTTTGTTAGAGAACAGCTTTCCTTTCTTTGTGTTTCTCCAAAAAACTCTAGAGCCAGAGTTTATTTTATACAGCTCTTGTTCAAACGGGCCTGCCCACCTCCTGGGTTGACAAGACTGTGCATTGGATAGGAACACTTGTTCAGCAGCTAATTAGGGCATCTTTCCCAAACTGGCTTCCCTCCTTAAAGGAAGGGTGGCTTCTGGTGAAACAAGACTCCAAAACTCAGCTATGCAAGTCATACTGGATGGCTCTCTGGGGCTGGCTGTTATTCTTAAACAGGGTGGCATTTATGCTTCTTAATGAAAATTTTCTGGGTAGCTGGAACAACAGTTCTGTACCTCAGAGACTAAAACCTCCTTTTAAAAATGATAGTTGCATTGTTTTACAAATAGTAACAACAAAACAATCATAATAAAGGTCTGCTTCTTTGCAAACAGAATCTTATTCCCAGGTTCCTTTTGGTCCCTAGATCCTGTAAACCTGGATTATTTGTTATGGATATATTTGGGTTAGAGATTATTTCCCACATACAGAAAATAAATGCTCCAAACCTGGTTTGGCCATATGCCAGGAATACCAGACAGAACCTCAGTTATAAATGAAATAAATAAAATAGGTTTTAAACTACCTTGACCCCTCTCTTTATTTCAGGCTGTTGTTACTTGCCACTTGCTCTAGAACTACCTTCTTTCCCTGCTTCAGTCCATCTTGGACACTCTCTATAGTACTGCAGGATTCCCTCTAAGACCCCAAATTATCTTCTGGTTTCCTTTTGCCTTTACTGCTCAGTCTTTCTAGCCTACACAGAATCCTTAGGGGATTCTTCCCAAAACACACATGCCTAGGCCCCATCCCAGAGAGAATCAAATTCAGCATATGAGAGGTAGGGATTGGGCCATCAGACTTTCCAAGTGAGTCCGATGCATGAGTTGAGAGCCATTGGCTGCCTGAACCAAATCCAAGTTCTTCATAGCAAAGGTTTGAGGCTTATAAGAGGTCGTCACAGCTCACCAGCCTCTACAGTAACCCCCAGACTGCAACCCTGTGCCTTCACTTCTACACCTTGGTTTTTTTTATTCTTATCACCTGGAGCTCCTTCCCCTTTCTTTTTGCCTCTCCAAATTCTACCCATTTTTAGATTTCCACTCAAGTTCTAGCTCTTACTCTGGTAATCCTTCTTTGTCCAGCTTGGCAAGATGTGTCCTCTCCTTTCTTTGGACGTTGGTGTCCCTGTTTTATTTGATGCTTTCTCATTTGATTTATATTAGTTATGTATTTGATATATACCAAGCCTCCATCATACATGAAGTATTCTGGGAAGAATGTCAACAATAAAATTGGTGCAATCTTGATTTTAAGCTCTTTGCTGGTGATAATGTTCACCCTGTATAACCACAGGGATTTAGAAAATACCAGGAAGGGATAATATCAACCCTGGCAGTTGTTAAACATATAAATGACCCTGACTATGGACAACTGTAAGACAAACCATACAAAATTGATTCAGTGGGGATTTTGGTCAAGATTGCACGAGATTTCTGGCAATTATCAAGACATCTCAGATTCACAGTAAACAAACAAAAGCTCTCCCAAATGCGTGTAATCCAAGATTCTTTTTCCTCTTTATTTTTTCTTTTTTTTAATTTAAATTCAATTAACATATAATATATTATTTGTTTCAGGGTACAGGTCTGTGATTCATCAGTCTTATATAATACCCAGTGCTCATTTCAGCACATACCCTCCCCAGTGTCCATCACCCAGTTACCCCATCCCCCTCCCCTCCAGCAACCTTCAGTTTATTTCATGTGATTAAGAGTCTCTTATTCTTTTTCCTCTTTAGGTAACACAATTATCAGCAGTCAATTTTGCCCTGTTGCAAGCTTTGTTATTTTGTTCCTTGTTACTTTTATGTTACTACTTTGTTATTTTTATAAGAAATATTAAAGTTATGTTCCAAGGAGAAAACCAAAATTTATTTGAGGCTTAGAGAAGACTGGCAGACCTCCTTGTTGGGATTTTATACCCATCTGTAATCCAGAGTGATAGTGGGTTGACTCCCTTTGTAGGTGGGATTTATTTGGGGGTGTCTTTGGTTAGTGTCCATTGGGTTTACCTATTCTGTGGTTGATGACTCTTTTTCTCTCTGTTGCAGATGATGGGAGGCAAGGGCCTTAAACAGGCCACAGAAATTGCTATATTAAATGCCAACTACATGGCCAAGCGATTAGAAAAACACTACAGAGTCCTTTTCCGGGGTGCAAGAGGCAAGTATCAACCTTAGTTTACCATCATCTTGGTTTTTTCTTGACCAAGTTTGACCTAGGAGATGTGGTTTTCTGCAGTGGGTAGGAAACTTCTGTTTCTTAGCATATACCAGAGAAAAGCGTAGATTTTTTGGAAATAACTTCTATTTAGTGAACAGTTTAGGAGTATCACTATTTGGAAGGCTGTGTGATGCAGTTAGTGTACACAGCCCAGGTCAACAAGGAGCCACACCACTGAGAGATGTATACATAAATATCGTGAGCTCATTACCTCCCAAAGTACTATGGGAATGCCTCTAGAAGAGGAGTAATTCAGACTGGGCAGAATAATTGGGAGAGCCTTCTGGGAGGAGCCCTTTGAGATGAGCCTGGAAGGGAGAGGAGCAACCTCAGTAAACAGAGACTGCAGCAAGCCAGAATTGTCTAGGTGGTGGGAGGCTTTGGGGGGTTGATGGATGGGATAGGAGGAAGGGGAGCAGATAAGAATGAAGTTGGAGAGGCAGCTTGGGGCCTTGAAGGTCTCAGAAGGCTCTCATCTTTACCCTTGAGCCAGATGACAGCCATGGAAGGTTTTTTGAGCAGGGGAATGACAGGATTAAGAGAATGGTAAAGTCATTAAGAAAATGGCAGGGGATGAACATCCTATTAGAAGTAGAATCAATAGGACTTAGTTACTGATTATTTGAGTGTGAAGAGCAATTCTAGGTAAGCCTCTTATGCTGATAATAGAGGTGCAATTGTGGGAATAATAGAAGGGGGGACAAAGTCACCCTGGAAGTGATGGGAGGGGACGGAGCCAGACAGATTTGCAGAAATTTGGCTTTGGGCACAGAATCTAGGAGCAGACTCTTCGAAATGGTGAAACCCAAGAAAAGAGTTTTGAGAAACTAGAGCAAAACCCCTCAAGCAGATGGCTACATTAACAGGGATGAGCAGAAAAGGGGTACCTGATGAGGGCGGGCTCCATGCCTGAGGCAGCTTTAGAGCCTCTGCAGCGTTTGTCACAGTGCCTCTCCGGAGAAAAGCCCCTGCTTGCCCTGTCTGTCTCTGTTCTGGCCTCATCTGATCCCTGTAGCCTCCTTTCCCTGGCACAGAGAACTACTCCTTCCTTTGCTCCCTCCACTACTGAGGATTTCTCCCACTCGGTTTCTTGTCTGGCTCTGTCCGTCAGACCTTGAGCAGGGTAAAGACTGTGCCTGCTTCCATGCTCCAGCACCCATACCTGTCAGTCACTCCTGGCCCACCATAAATGTACGCAGTGTTGCACAACCGGGAGAGACAGACTGGTCTTACGACGGGAGTCTTAAACAAAACAAAACAAAACAAAACCTGCCTTTAACAATTAGGAACACTTTGGTCACCTTTGAAAGAATTAGGGCAAAAATGATAGGGGAGATGCCAAATGGAAATGAGCTGAGAAGTGGACTGAGGGTGGGGAAAAGAAGGGAGAGGCATTCATGGTTTGGGCGAGTTTCATAGTGAAGGCAGTGGGACAGGTGGGGGCTGCTCCAATAGGATGCCGTTTTGTTTTGAAATAAGAAAAGAACATGATACTCACCTGCCAGAGAAAAGGAGTTGAAGAGGGGAGAGTGAAGCTACGATAGAGGGAGTAATAGGTGGGCAAACAAAGTCATCCTGGAGGTGATGGGAGGAGACATGCAGCAAGTTGGCTGTGGGCACGGAGTCACAGACAGGGACAGATGGGGACTTGGAGCTTGGAGCAGAGAGTTAGCAGTCAGTAAGCAGCATGGGCCGAAAGAATGAGGCCTCTCTTGGGCTCTTTGTTTCTCCAGCTCAGGCGGAGTATACATCTACATCTGTGATCTTTAATTTAAAGGCTGGTCTTGCCTTAAAAATAGGTATCCAAAGGATTAGTTCTGTAGTTTGAAAATAGAAAAGAGCTAAATAACTAGTAGGTCTGGTTAGGAATGCTCCCCAGAGATTAGGAAAGAAACTTGTGGGCAATATGTCTCTAAGCAGCACAATAAAATGCTTCTGAGGTGGGTATTAAAGAATCTACAAGAGCTACTAATTAATTCATTCAAATATAGCTCCTGCCCTGTGAAATGCATTCTGCTTATGTATCGGCCTTTAGGATTAGTTTAAATACTTGTTTTGTCTGATTATGTAAGTAATTTTTATATGCCCAACATGGAAAATTTGGAAAATAAAAACCATGAGGAAGGAAACATAAATGATCCATGGTTTCGTCAAGCAGACATAACCACTATTAATATTTTGCTGTATTTCTTCTTATCTTACATTTAGACCATGATATCATAATACAAATACAGTTTGTGTCCTGTTTTTTAACTTTATCTTATATTGTGATCATTTCCCCTTGTCATTAAATGTTCTTTGAAAGTAGCTACATTGATTCTATTATATGGATATACCAGGATTTAGGTAATTGTGTTTTCCTCCTAGTTGTTTGCTTTGCATTTGCTACAACAAATATCTTTTTTATTTAGAATTTTAAAAAACATTTCTGATTATTTCCTGAGGTTAGAGCTGCAGAAGAGAAATTATTATTTCAGAGTATGAATGCATTTAGGCTCTTGGTATGTGTGGCCTGGTTGTCCCCACAGAGACTTTGTAACAGTTTATTTCATGCTAATAGCGTATGAAGTGACCATCACACCAGGGCCTAGTGAACACCAAGTGTCAGGCTGAAAAAAACAACACCAACCAAAAACAAAGTATCTTTGCCATTCTGTGGTTGAAAAATGATTTTTTTGCTTTAATTGACGAGGTTTAGGGTTCTTTTCTGTTTATTTTTTTAAGGTATTTGAAATTTACTTATGATTAACTTTATTTGAAAACATTGAGACAGAATTCACATACCATACAAATGACCTACTTTAAATGTACAATTCACTGATTTTTAGTGTGTTCACACAGTTGTGCAATCTGAAGTTTAGTTTTTAAAGCAAGAATGTGTGTGATCGGGACTGCATGTGGGGTATGGTGGCGGTCTAGCAGAGAGGAAACTGAACAAGCAAGCCTACTCAGGTGCGTACCATGTGCTTAGCATTTGAGTGACTGCTTTAAGCAGAGACTGTCTCACACTCCTAGAGGATTTGCAGCACAGAATGATAGATGCAATTTCCATTTGTTTTGACATTTTATCCCAGAATCAAATAATAAATTGTATTTCTCATCCCACGCAGAGATATATTGGTGATTACAGACTTTATTACCCAATCCCAAAGTTCATGAAATTAAAAAACTGTCTCATGTTTGGTCTGGTAAACACATTCATTATATAATTTGAAGCTGAGTATTCTAGGGCCTAAAAAAGAATTATCACTGTACCTCCTGAGGGCCCAAAATAGAAATGTTCTTAATGAACGCATTGTAGTCCAAGATGTCTAATGGCAATATTAAAAGACCATTATTCATCTTAATCATATTTACTAGTTCTATATAAGACTTTGGAATTACAGATGACTACGAGGCAATAATTTTAATGAACTCCAGGCTTCCCTTTATGAACCATTTCTTTTGAGAGATTTGAAAATACCAGCTAAACCACTGAGGCTTATGGTTTTGTGAAGCAAGGAAGTGACAGGCAAGAATTGGGATGGGGGAAAAGCAGTAGTATTTCAGATGAGGAAAGAAAGGAATTACCTCAGGTAAAATGGCACCTTTTGTTTGTTTGTTTGTTTTAATGATAAATTCTTATTTATTGAAAGACATCCAGTTGAGAATTTTTTTTTTAAGATGGTACCTTTTTTAAAGGAGGAATTAAAAAAAATTCACAGATGTCTACTCTTGGCAGGCTAAGCTCACTGTTTGATCTAAATGGAGTTTCTGTCAGCGGAGTAAGCAACTTTATTAGTATCCCAGGGTTTTATTTATGTTTTAATTTCTTAAATGCCTATCCCTTTTTGACCTTAGACAAACCTAATGCTGCCTGGAAATTCCTATTCCTGAATTGGTTTCCCAGTTGCCTTTATGGGTAGACATGGGCCTCAGGGGATGGGCCTTCACATCCCAGGCCAGGAAGTGACCCTCCTGAGGCCAGAGGCCCCACCCACCCGACCTCATTTCCAGGGAAACCTTCAGTTTTGATTCTATTAGTAATCGTCCCTGGATTGCAACTGAAAAGCTTGACCAAACCCTGATTGCTCACCTAAGCATTATAGAGTAATTAGCCAGTGAGTTCCGTTTATCTCTAGGCAATCACTCTGAGGATGCGGAGTGGGAGGGAAGATGTTCCAAGCTTAGAGCCAAGCCACTTTTATTTTGCTTTTCCATCATGCCACCATCCCCTCCTTGTTCCTTTGACTTGGTATCTTTTCAGACTCTCTGCTATAGTCATGGTTAGGCCCAGCAGGAACATCTACTCAGAGGAAATTAAAACTTGTGCTGATCAGTTTATATAATTTCTACTTCAAATTTTCCTGACTCACCATATGCCATAGAAGGTTTTCTATCTTTTCTCCTTAAAAAGTGTAAACAAAGACGAACATCTTGGCATCTGGCCTCTAATAGCCACCAAGTTTCCATTTCACCCCTTTCAGGGCTCAAGTACAGAAAGAATATGCTTAAATTCCACCGTTTCCATTTGAACACGTTAGGATATGGATTTAGAAAATAACATCTGAACCTCATTTTGAAAATGGAGCTCTTCCCAAACCGCCTGGCTGTGGTGGGGGCCCTGCAGGCGCAGGCTTTGTGTTAGCAGTGCTGGGCTGGGCTCTGCGCGACTGAGCTTCTCCTTGGAAGACTGCCCTCTGTCTGCCAGCAAGAGTGACTCCTTTCCTCCATCATGTGTCCCTCCTCCCCTCCTGCCCACTGAGCATCCTTCAGAGCAGTGAGCTTCATTAGCCTTCTTTCTTGTGTCACCGTCACGGTGCTGGGGTGGCAGCCAGAGGCTCAGAGAAGAAAGGTCAAAGGTTGAGGCTGGGCTACCAAAATGGGGTAGGGACAATTGTGTATTTAGGATTCCTAGACTTAAATGGTCTCACCATTCCTCCTCCCCCCCCCCCGCCTGCCCAATATTCCAACTTGTCGTTCCTTTTAGATACCTTTTCCCCCTGACTACCTAGCTATGAATACAACTTTCTCCTTTTGAATCCCACTTCTTACAAATTTAATCCCCATCACTGTTAGAACGAATATTTAAAAAATATTCAGTGACAGTATATTTAAAGCTTCAGGTTCTCATACTTTCATTTTCTAACAAAACCAGTCCTTTCTTATCTATTCATTACATAAGAAGCAGAGCAGTTCCCGACAATCTCAGGGGCTATTAATGACTGGAGCTATTCTTCTTAGGCTTGAGGAATTATGTCTGCTCCACGTATCTGTAAGTAGAGTCATTGTTTGCTGAGAGTCAGGAAAGTAGGTTAAGAAGAAGGAGTACATTATTATCTCATGAGCAGATACTTTCTTGGAAGGAAACTCATCAGTTGTGTAGGCCATGGAATTTGGAAGCCCCCAGAAATGTTCTATTTATGAAAATGCTGACTGAGTTGATGGTTTGTTCCTGCTGATGGGTGGGGGATCAAACAGCTCATGCTGGGGAGCTAGATAGCAGCCTGGGCCGGGGGAGGCTGTCAGTTTACAAACTAGAGCAAAGAGAACGGACTCCCAGGGCCTTTGGCTTCTTCAGCTTCTTGCCATTTGTGGTGTGGTGTTTGACAGCTCTGATTTCTAATTCTCAGCTTGAAGCCTGAAACCAAAACCTCAAGAGCCCCTTTGAAGAATCACATACAATTATGTATGAGCCTTACAGGTCTAGGTTTACTATATATTTACACACACGCAGGAGGAAGTTATTTGATGCTGGGGGCGGAGTTGCTGAAAACAGTATCAGTGGATCTTTAGCTCTAGAAATATTTTGTAATAAAAGGGTCAGGCCTGTGATGACATGTTTAACTGTTGGAAGTAGATTTTATAACCTCAGAGTAGAAAAAACCTCATCCCCAGGAAATCTCCAGGCAAATAGTTCAGCAGTGCATTGGCACCAAAGTCCCACCTCCCATCAGCCTCTTGGCTCCGGGGTGTGTTGTGACACATTGGCCTGACGTGTTAAAAACATTTTTAATTTTACAATTATCTTTATAGTTATACTTATTAATAAAGTAGACGAGGTCTTTGTTGCCAACTATAAACTTACCAAGTGATCATGGCTTCTTGGTACTCGTTGATATGTGATTTAAGCTGATTTATTTGTTCATTTGTTTGGGTAAAACAAGCTGATGCTAATCTTGAGCTGAAAAAATTTTCCAGGTTATGTGGCTCATGAATTTATTTTGGATACAAGACCCTTCAAAAAGTCTGCAAATATTGAGGCTGTGGATGTGGCCAAGAGGCTTCAGGATTATGGTGAGTGACCTTGTGGGAGAACTGCTTTTAGGGCAACTTAGGTTTTTGACATTCATGCAGCTTTCCATGCTGGTTATGGGCCACTTCCTCAAGGCACAAACCAAATGTGCAGGCACCATAGTAAGGCCATAGGCTAAACGGTGAGCCCAGGGTTCTAGGCAAGCTTCAAAATGATAGAGAAAACACTTGCCCTATGAGTGCATTGGTAATACCCTTCAAAAGATATTAAATCATATATCTTGAATCCATTGGCATCCTAGAAGTCTTTGTAGTTAATAGAATTAAAAACCCCAAAGAAAATGGTTGCTGTTTCCTGTGTTTCTTCATTTATTTTTTACATTTTTAATTAAGTTTTTAATTTTGTTTTTGTTTTCGTTTTGTTTTTAAGATTTTTTATTTATTTGACAGCGAGAGAGGGAACACAAGCAGTGGGAGTGGGAGAGGGAGAAGCAGGCTTCCCGCCGAGCAGGGAGCCCGATGCGGG